GAACGAACGAACGAAAAAATGAATGAGTGAATGAATGAATGAATGAAAGAACGAACGAACGAACAAACGAACGAACGAACAAATGAATGAGTGAATGAATGAATGAATGAATGAATAAAAGAACGAACGAACGAACGAACGAACGAACAAATGAATGAGTGAATGAATGAATGAGTTGTAGTAGTTTCTTCTTCGTCGGTAATAAAGTTATTGCTTTCTGTTTCATATTTATTACATGGTTCTCTTTGTTTATGCAAAGTTCTTCTGTTTCAGGTGATGAGAATACTAATTAGAAAATGAATAAAACTCTTATTAACAGCACTTAGAAATGACACTCAGGTGTATCAGAGAAGCTGATGGCCAATGATAAAAAAGCCGGTGAAAAAATTATATAGATGATGATCAGGTGATGATCTTATAGCTGGAATGATAACAATGATGAAGATGATGACGACGATAACGATAGAGACAATGGTTAAGGTGATGATGACGAGAAAGATGATGACGACGACGACGATGAAGATGGAAGTCACTGGCAAAGGTGACTTAACAATGTAGAGATGGAAGATTATGATGATTGCAATGCTGGCGGTTCGGCCTGCACTCCAATGTTAATAACATAAAAGTTTCCAATAACACGATGACGGTAATAAAACAACTACAGCAGCAAAAACCACACATTAATCCAAGCACACACACGCACACACACACACACACACGCACACACACACGCTTGCAAATAAGTGTTAATTGATTTTTTGAAAATGTTATACATTTACACAAACATTTAAACATACTCCATAAAAGCAAGCAAATACGAGATGGCACTACAAAAAACACACACGCACAAATTGACAGACATATGCACACATACACAGACATACGCACATACACACGCACGCACGCACAAACAGAAACACCAACACAGAGGGTCAGTTTATATGAGCCTCGGCTGGATTATGAATGATTGCTTGCACCTAATTCGTGTATATTGCCAACTTAGTACGATATTTCACTAATGCATCTTTTCATTTTCATGTGAGAAATTGTATTTTTTAGATAGTATCATGAACTTATATGATATGTTTCTATTGATAAATTCACTTTTTAATTCAGTTCTTTTAAATTAAAATTTTTGGCAGAACAATTTGAAATTTGATAAACACTTACATTAAGTTCTGAATTATTAAAAAATTTAATTTTTCTAAAAAATCAGATGTGCGTGTGTGTGTATATGAGTGTGTGTGTATGTATGGTTTAAAAAGTGCATGTGTGTGTATAGATGTGTGTGTGTATGTGTGGTTGAAAAAATGTGTGTGTATGTATCACACCACAAACACCAAAGGACATGTAAGAGAAACATAAAAATCCTCCTCACCCCTCTTAAACCAATTACATATTTTCCTTTCCTCTGGTCACCAGCCACCATCAACATCAAATCATAAACACACACGCACACACACACACATACGCATGCACACTCACACTCACACACACAAACACACATACAAGTAACACAACAACTCCTTGTACGAAAATGTTACACACTTTAAAATTAATTTGTAATCATTTTGTAACTTTTGAAAATTTAAACAAAACTTAACAAAACAAAATTTAGCGGAAAAACTTTTTAATGCAAAATGCGCTCGTGACCTAGTTTCGATCATCAACTTAATGACCCAGAACTGACCTCAAAAGTATACACACTCACACACACAACACACTCACACATAAATACATGCATATACACACAAACACATACATACATGAACAAAACTACATTTAACTACTTACTTTACAACAAAAATGTCTACAGAGATGTTCAAAAATCCATATTGTCAGAATCCATATTAAGAATTTTATTGACGGGAAAGAACGACCGCTAGAGACTTTTGACATTTAACCTCTGAACTATTTTTCTCTAAAAAGAAATTGAAAATATAACATCAAACCTCAGACCAACTGTGAGGTCAAGAGACGTCATCAGTCCTACTTGTGTTCATACAATGGATTTGTACATTTGTGTATGTGTGCATATGTGTTTTTATGCGTGCGCGAGCGTATGTATTCGTGTGTTAGTGTGCGCGTGTGTGTGCGTGTGTAGGTATTGAAATAGACTGCGTGTAAGTATGTGGATGTGGAAAGTTTACATGTACGTGGGGGAAGTTTATTTACCTGAGTACACGCTAGTAATAGCATGTAAAAACGTAAATTGCATACTACACACAACACACACACACACAGACAGAAAAACACACACAGACAGAAAAACACACACACAGGCATGTACACACACACATAGATATATACATATCAATAAAATTGATCAATTTTTGTTTATATATTCAGTTACATATTCGTTCATTAATCACCTCTCAATAAATGAACATGCTCCTTGTTCAAAGAGATGAGATAACAAATTGCTGACACAACAAATCGAAATGTTTCATTTTTCATCTGATATGAACATTTCTGTTTATGAATGATAAATAATTTTCATAAGTCCTCCATGTTGCCATTAACTTTCTTATGACGTTGAGTTTGTTTCAAATGTCTGCCTAAATGGATGAAGGTACAGGAATCTCGAGGTTTGCTGTGCGTCTAAGTTTCGCTTCGCATTTTCTGTTTGACAATATCAACTAATAAAACTAATGAATTTATTCAGATTAAAAAATAACAGGATATACTTAAAGATGTCAGATAATTAATCAAAAAAATTAGAGAATCAGTTATATAACAAATCATCGCAGGTGAAACTGACCATGTTGAACTTGCCGCCAATGAACTCCAGACCCCACGTGGCTTGCACCTTCCTACACCATCCACACTACACCTACTCGTCTGCCTCCATCCGCATCCAGCAGTTCAACTTCAACGTCACATCCGTTGAATGTGTCACTCCCAATGTTCTTCCGGCTTTCAGTCTGAATCGAGGTTCGTTGTGCAAGAGTGTGGATTTTATGTAGGATGTGTACCTACATACACATGTCTGTGTATGTGTGTGTGTGTGTGTATGTATGTGATATGAACTCTCTTTTGGTGTTTATCTTTTAATACATAAATATAATTAAATATTTGTCAATAATATTTCATTTGATATCCGTTCATTGTTTTTCATGCGTTTTTATGTTCGTTCCCTCCTCCCTTTCACTCTCTTTTTTTTCTCACTCTCTCTCTCTTTCTCTCTCCAGCCTCTTCTCCCTGCCACCCATGTAGTATAATAACAATAAAACAGCAATCACCATAAAATGACAACTCGCCTACTTGGAATCTAATCTGAAAATAAGCATACGCTTCTTTAATAAATAAATACTCGTAACTAATCGCATATACTCGCAAGTATTCGTAGCCACCGACACTAAAAAACGGACCATCCTTGAATTTATTGTCGGCCGGAGATAATAAATAAAAGATAAGCCCCATTTACATTTAATTAAACACTTTATTCAGGCACTATCTTTCTTTGTAGCTGAATGGCTGGCGCTAAAATATCCAAACGATAAAATTGGCCATTTCATCTTTATGTTTGTGTAGTAGTGGTAGTAGTGGTCAGTTGGTCAGTTTCTGGTGGTGTTAAACTAGCGGCTGTGGTTGGTGTGGTGAATTTTAATGCTGGTGTTCTACATGTTGGGGGTGTTGTCTTTGTAAGCAATATCGTTGTCGTAAGGTGTATGTGTGTTTGTTAATTGTTGATACAGAAATAAATTTATAACCATTGAAATGGCTCATCAGATACAACATAAAATAGCACAACAAACATGGTTAGTTTGTGAATGAAGTTGAGTTTAATAATAAAACAGCATTTATCTTTAGCGTACAATTTTTGTATTTATTGTTTTTCATACTTTCCTGACTTTAGAATTCTGTGATTAACGCTAACGAGACGTTGAACACGAGTTTACTGTTTCGCACTGAGATTGAAAAGTATTTTACACACTGGAGAACGCCTCAACAATACAACTGCGAAATTACAATGACGACAAAATATAGCCAGGCCCGAGTGACGCTGGTGCATGTGTGCGTATGTATGTGTTGTTTGTATGTTTGTCAGTGCTGTTTGTTTGTTTGTTTGTGTGTGTGTAGTTGTGTGTGTGTGACTAGAATTTTGTGATATTGGGATTTTCCACGTGTTTGTTGTTGATATGATTGTTGATAGGAAGAAAATGTATCAGAAATTTTAAGCTGCCTTGAGAGGCTTAGAGAACACTACAGCATATGTGAATGTTGTAGGTGAATATTTTTGTTATTTAGGAATTTGTATTTGGAAATTTTTTCCCATATCTTCTTTATGAATATTTAAAGAATTCAATTTATTTTTATACGTAGTTTCTGACAGGTTGACAAAAATGTTGACAACATTGATGTATGTTGTTGTCAATGCTACATTTTTGACGTTGTTGAGTTTGACTATTATTGTTGCAAAAAACAAACAAAACAAACAAACTTAAACAAACAAACGAACCAAACTAACAAAAACAAATAGAAACAAACCAAAAAAACAAATCAAAACCATAAATTAAACCAAAACCAAATTCAAAATGATGTAGTTTGGCAGTTTGAGTGGAAGAATGTCGAAAAATTTCAAAGAGATGGGAAAAAAACTTGCGTAGAAATATATTTTTAAACTAGCAGCGTCATTGAAATGAGAAAAAAACCTCTACTTTTCGGCGCTATTTATTCAAAAATAAATAAATGAGAAATAATGGAGGCAATTATTTTTATTGACTGTACATGCGTGCGAAGGGAAATACTGATTTGTCTTTGTTATTTTCGGTTGCGCTGTTTGCGTTGTGTATTTTGTCTTTGTTATTTGGGTGCTGTTTTGTTTGTGTTGTCGAGTTTTGTCTTTGTTATTTCTGGTGGCTTTATACATTTTCACAGAGTCCGCCTTGGGTTCACCAGTTAGGCAGCTTCGAATAATCGGTGCCTATTCTGGTATCTAAGAGACTTAATTCGTGATTCTATGCTCATTGGCATAGTTTCAGAAACGTCTTAAGTTCTCAAAAGTGGATTTGGTAGGAGACTCTATGCTCATTGGCATAGTTTCGCACGCGTACTAAAGTCACACAATTTGTTTCCAGTGTTGTTCTGACTCTTGTTGTTTTGTGTTGGTTGTGCGAAAGCCAACCAGACTGACTGACAGGCCCAGTGAAAACAGGCCCTTGGTTGTGCGAAAGCCGACCAGACTTGATGGCCCAGTGAAAACAGGCCAGGGTTGTGCGAAAGCCAACCGACTGACTGACAGGCCCAGTGAAAACAGGCCTTGGATTCTGTGAAAACGAATCCGCCTCGTTGTTTTGTTTTTGTTGTGCTATTTGTGGACCTAGCGTTCTTTGCTGGATTCTATACTCATTGGTATAGTTACGCACGCAGCTTGGAATTTCCATAGGCTCCGATTTTAGTAATTTTTCCGCATTCATTTTATTTATTTCTTGGAGTTGTATCGACATCACCATCGGATACACACGTCGAGGTTGTACGATTAAACGGCAAGAAACATATTCCTAGTCGAAGACCCAACAAGAAGAAGTTCTAATTCCTGTATTCCAGTTTGTTCATTGACATTATTTTTTTTTACATTATTCTAGAGTTCATTTAGTTCAATTCCTTTTCATTTACTTCCGTCGATTAATAAAATTGTTATCGAATATTTTTACGCGTTCGTGTGTTACTCAGTAAAATCATATAATTCGAAAAAGCCCAGTGCCACACAGGACTGGTCGAACTCACGATAAAAATATACAAAAAAAAAATTATTGTCGGACCATAAAAAAAATTCCCTGAGAAAGATAGAGGAGGAGATTGCCTCACCACCAGTTGCAAAATTTCCGACAATAATTTACGCATCTCAAAAGAAAGAAAAAAAGTTTCCATATAAATTTTTGAAGTCGTTCTTCGATGTATTTATGACCCGGCCCTACCTATGTGCATTCATCTATCTATTTAGCAGACATTGTAAATTTTTCTAATTCTCAAATGGAAAAATTATTTTTCTGAAAACTCTGTTCAACATTTACATTTTTATTTCTTCTGTCTTATAATAAGTATGATAATGATGATGACGAAAATAAATGCGTGGGTGTTAACGCCGATGATGCTGATGATGAAGATACTAAACATGATGATGACGATGATGACGAGGATGATGAGGATGATGAGGATGATGATGATTAAACGGATATTATTATTATTAGTGATACTATTAACGATAGGGCCGATGATTTGATACTAACACTGATGATGGTTGAGATAATTTATAATGAAGATATAGATGATACTGTAATGATGATATAGAAAATACTAAAGATAATAACTTAAATGATCCTATTGATGATAATACAGATGATACTTAGAGGATGATAGAGATGCTAATTATAACAATGATAGAAATGATACTATAATTATAATGTAGACGATACTATAAGAATAACACCGATGATACAAATGATAGTAATCAAGATTGCCCTATTAGTGGTAATAGCATAGATGATACAAGCGATAGAATGGCAATGTTACCGACGGCAACGATTAGCTAGTAAGCAACAGGGTAAAAAAAAACCGTAGCATTCAGATAAGCTTAGGAGTTTTATCTTACATGCAGTTAAAAAATTAGAGAGTAGTGGAAAAAAAAGACAAGTAAAAAAATTAGGCAGATATAGAGGTAGATATAGCTAGACAAATAGATAGATTTTAGATAGATAAAATGAGAAAAAGAGATAGAAAGAGAGAGAAAGAGAAGGAAAAAAAGAGAGATTGATCCCTATAATGTTAACGATTTTTTTGGTTTATGTTTATGATTTTAGTGGCATTGATTTTTACTTAGCAAAAATTCCAAAAAGATCAAAAAGATAGATAGATAGATAGATAGATAGATAGATAGATAGATAGATAGATAGATAGAGAGAGAGAGAGAGAGAGAGAGAGAGAGAGAGAAAGAGAGAAAGAGAGAGAGAAAAAAAGAAAGAGAGAGAGAGAGAGAAAGAAAGAAAGAGATAGAGAAATATTGGTTCATAGGATGCAAACAACAAAACAGATGTAAACAAACACGAACAAGTGTTGATAGAGCGAGTTCACGTGAGTATCAAACGTTTTTTTCAAACATTTGAAAATAATTTTTTATATTATTGTCTTAAAATTTTAAAGGTCAACATTTTTTAAAGGGTACGATTGTCTAAATTTGTCATTTTAAAAGATTTAAATGTTTTTTTATTCTATTAGTTATCTAGTAAACTACCGTTCATTTATTCAGCATTCATTCATACATTTGTTCATTCGTTCGTTCGTTCATTCATTCATTCATCCATTCCTTTATTCATTCGCTCATTCTTTCATTCTTTTAAGGTTGGACATAAATTTGGTAAGCACTGCAGTTTATTTATGCTACTCGTTCTAATGCCATCCTGGTTTATGTGGCAGCCTTGTACACTTTTTTCTCATTTCTTCAATTTTTGCTTCGTTGTTCCAGACATTATAGTGTGTTTCACGTCAGCAATTAATGTGATTCCGTTGCTGCTATGATGGTTGTTCTCATTGCTGTTGTTCGGGTCAGTAATTGCTCCGAGTTAAAAACTATTTTCAATTATTATTATTATTTATTGTTATTTCTATTTTAGGAGATGCCTGTTTTTGTTTATGTGTTGTGCTTGCTTGTGTTTTACACGTTACTTGCTCTCCGCTAACACTCGTTATTGTTCTTTGCTGAATTTATTGTCATTGTTTCTTTTATTCTTTATTGATCATTTTTATAGCTTTATTTTGTAATTTTGTATGTTATTTCTGTCTCATTATCCACTCATTATTATATGTTATTTTCACTCATACACACGCATAATAAACATACACACATACTCCTACATACACACATACCCACACATAAACAAACACACTCATACACACATACGCAATACACACACACATACGCAATATTCACACACACACACATACAAACACACTCATACACACACACACACAAACACACTCATACACACACACATACGCAATACACACACACAAACACACTCATACACACACACACAAACACACTCATACACACACATACGCAATACACACACAAACACACTCATACACACACACATACGCAACAAACACACACAAACACACTCACACACACACATACGCAATACACACACACACACATAAACACATCGGTATGTTGGCAGTGTTGGCGTGCACGCGATTGCGTCTCACGTGCACCAGATGTTCTTTATGAGCAAGCGCTTCTTTTTATGCTAATGTTCTTTAAAATGATTTTGTTTATGCTTCGTTTATATCGTTTTCTTTTCGTGTTTTTAGTGTGAAAATAGACAATTTCTCTCTTTTAAACTATCAAATAGAACAAAAAATTGTCATCTGATAAACAAAAGTCAAACACACAAATGTTTAACAATTGCAAAACAATGATTACTCTATGTACATTTAATAAAACCCAAATCATTTAAACACACACACACAAACTTCACTCACATACACACAGACATACCCACACACATTCACACACTCACACATTACACGCAACATTTACATGTACTACACAAGTGTTTTACACTTGAGACAATTTTGTGCTTTTTGACATGTCTCAAACCGTGATAAAAAGATGGAGATAAAAGGCAGAAACAAGAAAATATAATGTAACAGTTTTAAGATTTATCGTTGTTAGAACTTGTGTTTGTGTTTGTGTGTATGTTTATGTGTATGTGTGTTTATGTGTGTGTGTGTATGTGTTTTTTTATGTGCGTGTGTTTCGGTCGGCATGCGTGAATGTTTTAATTTAAAGAAATGTTTCAACTTTGTAATCTGATTGAGTTTCCCAATCAGAATGTTTTGAAGCAACGCGTTGTTCATCTACACCACTACATCAAGATGTCTCGCCCAAAGAATGTTTTGTTAGCTACATATTTGTCACCCATTTTCCAAAATCTTAAAATTTTTTGAAAATTAATTGATGGAACGCTGGAAAAAAATTTTTATGTAATAATAAAACTGCAGAATACTGCGATACCAAGAAAGTTAAAATGACGTCAAAAATTGTATAAATCGTTATCTTTGATTTATGGACCGTTCATACATACAAAATTGACAAACTCACACACATACACCACCACACTGCACACACACACACACACACACACACACACACACACACAGACAATCACACCTCACACACAAAACACACACACTGACACACAAACACACAGACACTCACACACACATCACACCACACACACTCACACACATACACTTTACATCCTCTATATATTATCTACACAAAGCAACTAACCCACAAATTCAAATAAGAACAAATTGATTGCACAAAGAGCCAAACAAACCAACATAGAAATGTTTGTGAAAAAACTTCCTTGATCAAACGGACGAAATTTTCACAGACTCATCAAAGCAGGGATATTTTTGCCAGATCATAAAAGAAGCTGTAATTTGTATCAATTTGTTTTCTGACGTCATCGTCATCGTCATCAACGCCATCTTTTTATCTCACCTCCACGCAACAAAACAGCAAACAAACAACCACAAAAACCATCAACAACAACAACAGCGGGTTTTTAAAATAACGTCACATTACACTAAAGCAAAAAATACTTCTGTGTTTTTATAATTAAACTTGAATATGCACGCAGAAATGTATAATGTGTGTGTATGTTTGTACCTATGCATTTGTACATCTTGTTTCATCCCAGGTTGCAGGCACACCTTTGTATTTGCATCATAACGTGTGGTATAAAGTTGTATATGATGAAGTACTGATGTAGGTACTTGAATTTGGGGTATTTTAAAAATGAAGTGTACATAATTAATCAAGTAGTTAGGTCTGCTTGTATGGTTGATATGTTTGATAACTTGTAACTATTCTCCCTAGTTAGCCCTGTGACATATTTTTTTTCAGTGTTATTTATGTCACCAAGTAAAATTTATTTTGTTTCATATGGATGTGTTCATTCATCTACATGTGTGTTGTGTGTATACTTGTGTGTGTACTTGAAGGACCAGTTCGAGTACTTACGTACTAGCGTAAGTACTCCTGTACTTGTGTAAGCACTTGTTGTACGTGCGTTGTTTGTGGACTCGTGAACCTGGAAGGATTTGGCATGTTGAATGAACTTTTGTCTAGCTGTCTTTTCATTTCAATTCATTTCATTCCATCCTCTTCTCGAACAAACAAACGATGAGTTGTGTATGCATTTCTGTGTAAGCATGCATTTATATATGCATGTAAGTGTGTATATGTGCATGTATTTAGGAATGTCTGAATGTGTTTGTTCATATATTATTATTTATTTATTCATATATTATTTATTTATATATATATATTTTAAAAATTCTACCGAATGTTTGGCGTTAATATGTTTG